TGCTGGCCTGCTCGCCCCTGCCTGCTGGTCTGCTTACCCCCAATGGCTTCGCCCCCCCATCAGCCTGATCACCCACAACTGCCATCCCTGAAGGATGTCCTGGATCAGGGTGGGGGTCTCACTGGGGTGCCTGGCCAGCCTGGGTGAGGGGTTGAGGGCTGTTTTCAGGCTGGCCACGCCCCCCAGCAACCCAAGCTCCCAGCCTCTCCTTTTTTTCTTTTTCTTTTTTTTTCAGCACCTCCTTAAGCGGAGGCTGGAAGTAGGTATCTGGGATTTATCTATCGTCTATAATTGAAACTTTGTAGCCTTGAGCAGAGGCCAGGGAGGGCAGGTAGCTCGGCTTCCTCCATCACCAGGGGCAACTCAAGCCTCCTGCTCACTCCAGCTCCGGGGCCGTTGCCATCTTAGTTGGGTTAATTTGCATACTTGCTCCTGATTGGCTGGTGGGTGTAATGGAGTGATGGTTAATTTCCATGTTTCTCTTTTATTAGTGTAGGTATAGCTACACTAATAAAAGAGAAAGATGCAAATTGACCATACCTTCGCAATGCCCACCAGTCAATCAGGAGTGAGTATGCAGATTAACCCAACAAAGCTGGCAAGTTAATTTGCATACACAGGGCTGAGCAGCCTGGGAGTGGGGCGGGACGCTTGCAACAATGCAGGCATTCTGCACTGCCCCAGCCACTCCAGGCCTCTGGGCAATGTGGGACGGCAGAAGGGCGGCTCCAGGCTGGAGCGAAGGCAGTGCCGACAGCCAGGGGAAGGAAGGCCCATTCTTGCACGAATCTTTGTGCATCAGGCCTCTAGTATATACCTAAAATTTAGTGGATATCCTTCCAAATATTTTCTACACATATGTATACATATGTAACAGGTACAAATTTCACAGTTCAAAAACAGGTATGTCTGAATTGTAACTTCATTTTCTATAACTCAAGTCAGTTTCTATTTTAGGCCTCAATCCCTCTGATGGCAAAAACTAAATCTAGTTAATTCAAGGTAAATGCTAGCACTTTATGATTTGCTTCTTTATTAGTGATCAAGTAGTTTAATTCCAGTGAATTCAGAATTTATTAATTGTCCTTTCTTTTTTCCTTTCAACTTCATGTATTTGCCAGTTTCTAAAACTTATTATAAAAGAAATAGGCACTCATTACAGAAGAATGTTAAACCATAAATAAGAGAAATGAAAAAATAAAAATTATCTGTAAACCCAGCAGCCAGAGATAATCAAACCTTCCAAATTATTCTCTTCATATATTTGCATTTTGGGGATCATATTATAAGTAGCTATTACTGCTTAATATACAGCCAACCTTTTTCCATGTTGCAAAATATAATTCTACAGCATTTTTAATGATTGCATTGTATCCTATATGCAAATGCACCATAATTATTGTCTGTTTTTGTATATTTGGGTTGTTTCCAAGTTTCCACTTTTACGAACTACTTGTAACCAAATCTCTGTGCACGTCTCTACTTCTTTCCTCACAATAGAATTCTGGAGCTGGTGTTCAGAGGGGCACTGGTTGAAGGGCTTTGCCTCATGCTGTCAGGCAGGTGGCACTGCCTTCTACCGCGGGCAAGATGGTCCTTTCTCTACGCCCTGCCAGCACCGTCTTCATCATTTTTTGTCATCTTTGTTAATTTGATAGAACAGTGGTTTTGTAATATTGTTTCAAGTTATATTTCTTTAATAACTAGTAAATAAAACCTGTTTTTAGGCATCACTTATGTGAATTGCCTAATCCTATCTTGCCTCTTTAGACTTACGTTTGTCTCATTCATTTGCAAGAACTCTTTGTTAGCTACGTTGCAGATGTTTTCCCAGTTTGTTACTTGACCTTGAATTATGTCTGTGTGCTCTTTTGAGATTGTAAGAGCCCAAGCCACTGGGCCAGAAGTCTGGTCTTTCACAAATGCTCTGCCTTTGAATAAACTTAGAACACAGAGATTTTTGCATCAGTTACTCCACCTGGAGGACCAGCAGGAGTAACTGGGCAGTCATTTGAACTGGGGGTGCCAAGGGGCTGTTTACACCATGTAGGTCCCGCCTCCCCATGGGAGCCCCACGTTCCCATCAGAAGCAGCAGGGAAATGGCCTCCACCTTTCTTCTGCCTCCCAGATCTCACTAATTGCAACGGAGTTAGCTCTCCAAGCTCCCCAACTAGAAAGAAGGTAGTGAGAGACCGGAGCTAATGCACAGTCCTCACTCATGTCGCGGGGCTCTCCTGGTTTGGTCGGTATCCATTCTGGAGCCTGGCACAAGTCTTCCCCTGTTACCTTGTTTTTCGATTTTTCTTGGCCATTTTCACAGGTGTATTTTTTAGATACGTTTTTTTCAGGCATGTTTTTCAAATGATTATTTTGAATTAAAAAACACACCTAGATACTGTTTTGTAATTTACTGGGCCTCTCCTTACCCTGGTTAGTATTCTTTCTACTGTTTTTAGTCCAAAATCTGATCGGTACAGAGGCAGTTTGTATATTTGCCATTTGTCATGTGCTGTTTTATCCTTGGAGGTATTTTAAAATTCTGACCCATAAGGAAACAGCACCACTCATCTTCTCCCTTTATCTTATTGTTCTTAGCAACTTCTGACGCAACTGATGGGTGTATCTCCTTCCAGAACTCTTGCCCACGGACTCCCATGCCACCACTCTCCTGGGTCTCCTCCTCCCTCTCTGACCACGCCTTCTCAGCCTTCCCATCCAGCTTGCCCACCTCCCTCTTTTTCTCTCCCCAACTTTCTTTCTATGTGAGTCACAGGGCTTCCATGTCACCTAGTGCCAGACATCCAAATAAGTCCCCCAGGCACCTCAAGGCCATGTACCCAGCTGCCTGCTTGCCCTCTCAGCTTGGTCCTCTTGAAACCAAAAGGTGGTGTTCGAGTCCGAGTTCGTTGTCTCACAAAACCAAAGAATGGCTTCACGGACAAAAACGGTTACGGAAGCAAAGTTTATTGGGAGAAGCCAGTCCTGGAGAGTGTGCAGCTGGGGTTCCAAAAGCAGCCGGTGCCCAGAGCTCCCGTTCCATGTCGCAGCTGACGCATTCAGCTTCCAAGCTCATTAAAGTGTATTAGCCCATGGCCACGTGGGCACAGGGCATGCATCCCCAGATGCCAGAGGGTGAGGAAGAGGAAGCATGAACTTTTTTATCTCGGGTAGGTACATGCCTCGCTAGTTCCTGAATGGTCCTCTCAAAGAATTCTGCCTTAGCATCACCCTTGGGATTGGTTTATATGCCTCACTGCCTTGTGATTGGTTATCTGCAAGCTGCCTGTCTCAGCAACATCCATACATTTTAAAGCTAGTGTCTCCACATGGGCCCTCCTTTCCTCAGCTGGGTTGTCTTAGTAACTCTGCCTAGCATGGTTCCCTGGTTCTACTCCCTAGCCCCCACTTCCCCACCCCCGCCCCCCACCATATACCTAGCTTCCCTCTGTCTCCTCACTCTCACAGATATTTCTAATTAAGGTGTCCAAACTTAATTTCAGAGAGGAAGGGAGAGGGAGATAGAAACATCAATGATGAGAGAGACAGCTGCCTCCTTCACACCCCACACTGGGGATCAGGCCTGCAACCCGGGCATGTGCCCTGACTGGGAATTGAACCATGACCTCCTGGTTCATAGGTCTATGTTCAACCACTGAGCCACAGTGGCTGGGTTTGGTGGATTGATTTTTAAATTTGCATTTAACCCAGGTACATTTGCTCAGCTCAGTATTTCCTTAGATCAGCTCTGTCAGTGGGGGGTTGTCGGTTACCTACTGAGTATTTGACACCTTGGATCCTATTTTTCCTGTACTGGGCCCCCAGTAGCGGGGCATGGTGGGGAGAGGGGATAAGAGGGAGAAGGGAGCAGTGGAGGGAGCACAGTCCAAAATAGAAGTGTCTGTTGCCTTCAGGATATATCCAGTCACAGGAAGAAAGACTCATTCTCAACAAAGAACAAAGTAACTTGCAAGCAAAAAAATGAAGACAATCCAGAAGTGCTGATGAAAAGAATCGTTTAGAGGGGCTGGAAGAGGTTAATAGGAGAAAAAGGAGGAGCCATGCAATACTTTCAACAATAAAGTTTTTTTTTAAAAAAATCGCCGAAACCGGTTTGGCTGCCTGCTGGCCCTTCCTGTGTGGTGACTGCCTTCTGGTGCTTGTGTTGCTTTGTTTTCTAACATTAATTTTCAGGTGTGAATGGGGTGGAGGGGATGCACCCCCCTCAGCTCTCTGCTGGCCCCAGGCCTTGGAGGACCCCTAGAAAGGGCAGGCCTGCTGTCCCAGCTGTCCCCAAGGCAAGGCCCCCTGACCCTGCTGGCAGCAGCATCCTCTGGGACCTGGGCGTCCTGCTTTCACTTCCTCTTTTCTGTGACCTTTTCCAGCCCTGGAGCATGTACCCAATTCTGTTCGCTTATGGAAGGCAGCGGTTGAGCTGGAAGAGCCTGAAGATGCTAGAATCATGCTCAGCCGAGCCGTGGAATGCTGCCCCACTAGTGTGGAGGGGAGTCCTCCAGCCATCATCACTACCACTGAGGCCTGAGCCCAGGACCAGTATCTAAAAGTGGCATCAGCTGGGCATTGAGCTCACCCAGGTGCAGTAAGAAGCCACAGGAAGCTGCCTGACAGCTGTAGGCAGAGCGGGCAGCCTGGCTGTAGTCAGCCTGACCGCTCTGTGGGCTCTGTGTGGAGCCCTCCTTCAGGCCTGGGGCCATGCAGAATTTGCAGATGGGACCTGAGGGGAGAGAGTGATAGAAATTATTGACATATCTTTCTGCCAACCCAGCATGAGGTCGGCTTCTTGCCTCTGAGCTAGTTGGATTTCTCTAGTTTTAAACATTCAGGTTCACAGCAGTCTGTGCAGTGGTTTTTAGTCTTGGTTTTATGATAGCCGGTATGTATTTAATTATCCTGAGGGGTCTTGTGAAATGCTCCAAATGAAATCAATCTTAATTCATCATATAAAAACAAACAGAGCCCGTACACATGCTTGGTGTCGAAATGCTGCCGAGTCACCAGCTGGGGTGTGAGAGCCCAGGAGGCTGAACACCCATGTGACCATTTAGCTTGTGAAGCAGCCTCCTGTCCTGCTCACCCGTCCACACACCCACC